TTAGGGTTAGGGTTAGGGTTAGGGTTAGGGTTAGGGTTAGGGTTAGGTGAGCTCCCAGGAGGTCCCTGGGCTTTTTGGGATGCAGAGCCCACCCCTCACGTGGAGGCCTGGTCTTTGCCATCCACGCTTCTTCCTCCCCAATGTAGGAGAAGCTGTTCCCCCAAAGGTCACTGCCATCAACATGAGGAGAAATGTCCCAGAAGGAGCTCCAGACACAGCTGACAACACATTTTGGTGAAAAACTTCATTTGACAACGGTGAGTGCAGCAACATTCCTAAAAGATGAAGCACGCACGGTTTCATTGGCCAACACTACTCACGGGCTCACGTGGAATTGGCTGAACCGACTTCCTGTATCTCCCAGCAAACCTCACCCAACCCATTTTGGTGGGATCCCACCCAACCCTGTCCGGTGACTTTGCTGAGTGGGAGTGATGACGTGGTCAGGTCTGTGGCTGTTGTAATGCAGAGTGTCAAGGGAGAGCTTGATGGGAAGGACGTGTCCATGTCCATCCTTCCAACCTATTTAAGCCAGGTCTGCTCCTGCTCCTGTAGTGGATGTGGTTGATGTAGTGGAAGACCCATCCTTGGACCATTCATGGTCAGATTCTGAGCAACTGATGGAACTGTAGGTATCTGTGTTCACTGCTGGGGAGTTGGACCAAATGGCCTCTAACCTTCCAACTCAAATGATTCTGTGGTTCCATGATTCCATGAGCAGGGTGAGACACGGGACACCTCTGTGCGGGTTGAGATACCAGGGATCCCTGCACCAGCACGTAGACAACAGATCTCCCTTCTGGGACTGTTTTTCCTCCTCTTCATCTGCTGGGGTTTCTGGAAGAGGATAGCTCTATGCTCTTGGTGCTTCCTGTGAAGATCTGGAAGGTCTTCAATCTTCTCAGGTGGTGCTGCCTGGGACTTGGCCCTGTCACATCTTGCATAGATCATCAAAATGGTAATGGGTTAAGGCTCCCCACAGAAGGACCTCAGCAAAGCAACCCTACGTTCAGTTCATTTGCCACTGTTGCCATTGGGGAATTTCATCTCGGTCCTGCAACATGTCCAGAGAAGGGCAATGGAGCTGGGAAGGGTCTGGAGCACAAGTCTATAGGGAGTGACTGAAGGAACTGGGATGGTTCAGTTTGGAGAAGAGGAGGCCACAACTAGAAAGGAGGCGGTAGAGAGGTGGAGGTCGGCCTCTTCACCCACATGACAGTGACAGGATGAGGGGTAATGGCGTCAGGTTGCACATGAGGAGGTTCAAGTTGGATATTAGGAATGAATGAGTGGCAATGCCCATGGAGGTGCTGGGGTCACCGTCCCTGGAGGTGTTCCAGAGCCATAGAGATGTGGCACTGAGGGATGTGGGCAGCGGGCCTGGTGGGGTGGGTTGGGGTGGACTTGGGGATCTCAGAGATCTTTTCCAGTCTTAACGATTCTATGATTCCATGGATGGGCAGAGAAGCCCTAGAGATAAGGGTAGGTGAGGAGCAAAAGCAGGAAGGCCCTGGTGATACAGGAGGGGGGTGAGTATCATAAGAGGGCCATATCCTGCAGATCTCACTCTTCTTTTTAATCCTTGGGCTGTGAGACAGCAACCAAGCGAATGGT